TGGAAAAGGAAAGCAATAAAAATCCTCCAACTGGTCAAGTTCTTTTTTTTATATATATAAGAGTGGTAGGGTTTAGGGGAGGGATGGGATCGTGAATGGATGGGGGCAAGAATGGGTATGGAGAGGGAACAAACTGGAAATTAGATGGGGAAATATTGTAATACAGAGGAAGTTAAAATGGTATACATCATGCATTGCTGCTTATTTTCCTTTTCTCTATTAATCTTCCCCGTGGTGTTTTATATGGTGCATATAAATGTGAGATAAGAGCATTAGTATATTGGAAACTGAAATGCAAATATAATATGTATGGTTGAAAAAACATTAAAGAGATAAACAAACAAAAAGGAGGAACTCTAATGTGAAGGGGGCTACTAATGTGGGAGAAGCCCCATTTTTTGTGTTTTTGTATGAGTTCCCCCCTTAAAATTCATGCCTGACCCCTGTCTAGGTCTGGAATGGATTTTGGAGGGACCACATGTTTACATTTTTAAATTTTATGTTTTGCATTTTAGACAAAGTATGCAAAATCTTGATTCATCCCAAAGGGTGCTGTAACAAAAAGGTTAAGAAATGCTGATCTAGGTGATCTAAAGCAGAGCTGTGTCTTCCAATAAAGGCAGAGAAAAGTACAAAAATAAATCACACTTTTGCCATGATAGGAAAACACTATGCCAAATTTTTCAAAGATCACAATAAATATGGCTTGGCATAGGGGGAGTATTTTTCCTGATTCAGACCTGCTCGGCTAGAGCCATGGAGAGCCCCAAGAATGGGTAGCTGTTCTTAGCAGAGTTATTCCTTAAAGTGGACATCAAAAGAATAAGCAGACCTTGTATTATGTATTAAGGTTGATGTTAAACTCCCGGTGAGTTCAAGCTGCTAAACTACATCTTGCAGTAATAGCTCTGTTCAGTGCAAAGTTTTATTGCACCAGAACCTACATGTCATAGAACACAGGATCAATTTGACCTTAAAATTGTATAGTATTAAGAAAAGGTGAGGTGTTGAATGGGGGCGATATTTTTAATAATAAATCACAGAATTATTATTGTTACTACATAGTATTTATATAGCGCCAACAGTTTGCGCAGCGCTTTACAATATAAGGAAGACATTACATTCACAATACAATTCAAGACAAGATGGTAAGGAGGGCCCTGCCCCTGAGGGCTTACAATCTAAAAGAATGACTTTGACTTTTATGGCAGTCATAATTGGGGAAGAATATTTGTCTTCTGAAGTGGTACTTCAGTCATTTTTTAAAATGTTTTTGATAGTGAAGATGGTTTGAAACCCCTCTCCGGGTCTTGTGTCCCCACAAGAGAGGTTCCATCACTTCTGTCCTAGGGGCAGTGTCTCCATTGTACAGGATGCACATGCAAATCTTCTCATCAAGCAAATATAAACTGCATAAAATAAATCCTGCCAAAGCTTCTGATTCTTTCTTGCTCTCTCCAAATCAGAGACACACAAAAAGGGGTTTGGTTAGAGTTTGTTTCACAAGCAAAAAACAGATGCAGAGACCTACATAACAATAGTGTATTTAGTGTCCCTCTGTTTATAGACCTCAAGCTAATTGGAGTTTTTATGACTTTAGGTACAATTCACACACCTCTCTGGATAGGTTTCATACTCCTTTTGCATCAGTTGTGCTCTGTACCATATCTCATTGCTTTTCATTCATGAGATCTTTCAATTAACAATGTAATTCTCTATTATCGTTAGCATAAAAGTGAACCGGTCACAAATGTGGTCAATTCATACTGAACATACGATGGGAAATACATGTGCAAAGGTTACCTTTAGCGAAAATCGCAAAGCTGGGCAATCTGTAGACTCAGACTTATGGCATTAGTTTTATGCAGATCTGAACTTCTATAAACATTGAGGTCCCATGCACCTCTTGTGCTTCCTTGAGGGTACTTCAATCCTCTAGTACTACAGTCAACCACACTTATACATGGAGCACTGTATAGGGGGAATGACCTTCTGGAGACCCCACTATATGTGGAGCACTGTATTGGGGAAATGACCTTCTGGAGGCCCCCGACTACTGCATTCTGTTTGAGAGCAGCATTCTGGCTCTCTAGTGTGCTGAAGATGCTGGGCAGCTCTTTGCTTGTTTTGAGCCTGGCTGTAAAGGAGAGAAAAACCAGAGGCTAAGAAAAACTTGGTCTTTAAACACGCTTCTATCACCTGGGAATGCTATTCGTGAGCTATTAGTGAGATCTCTGCACTGAGCTGCTGGGACAGCACACCTGCTCTGCCCATTATGGGGGGCTTCCACCAACCCTGCTGGGTTTTAATTAATGAAAAATGGAAGATCTGGAATACAAAATAGTGGGGGAAACACCCAATACTCCCAGATAGATGGAAAAAGTCAGATGCTCAAAAAGCAAGATCCCCCTGCCATGGAGAACTTATAAGAATCAAGGTACTGGCTAAGCACTATAGGTAAAACATCACTTTTGGCTTGATTGGCCCTTTTAAAGTAAAACCTTCCTGCTTCTGATCTATTAGTTTTTACATGCAGTACCATCTGCACAAGGGTGGATTAGAAGGTGGGGTTCAATTATTTTGAGAGGGACTGATGAGAAAAAGGATACCAAAAACTTCTCACCTCTGTACTTTTCTTGCCAATATCAGTTGGTCAGAACCACCTTCCACAGTCTATAATTGTATACTGTATAAAGAGTATATTAAAGGATACCTTCAGCCTTTGCCAAATCTCAGCCATTGATGTATTCATTCTTTGAGATTTACCTTTGCCTGTATCTCTGTGGAGGTCCACAGATACATTATAGGTTGACCAGACCCAGCAGATCTCATCTCAGAAGAAAAAATGGGACATCTCCCCATATTGACCAAGTGTCCAGAACTGGCAACAATTTCCCACTTGAAACATGGAATAACATTTTGTGGACAATTGGGTTTTGGCAGAATCTGAGAGTAGTTACAGAAATGGTATTGTATGCCATAAATACTATTAAAGACTTTTATGACGATTAAGAGGGACATTTGCTTAATGGTTTGTCGTGAGAAAATGGAGAATTCTTTTGCATTTGGTGACCATTGTCGAGAGTCTCCCTTTGCTCTACTTTGAACTCCAATGAAGTCACTTCTGTGATAATTCTCATGTTGGTGAGACCCAGTAGCAGATAACAATATCGTCCACAGATCAGTGTTATAGGCCATGTCATGCTATGTGAACCCCAGTGATTTCACCTTGCCTATACTGACATGTTGTTGATCATATGACCAAAACTGAAGGAGGGTTAGCCAATCCAGGCTCTGATTTCTCTCCTTCAGTAGATTTAGGCTTTGAGACAGTAAACCACACTATATATGGAATTCAGAGCTGAATTTTTAGAAATGGTGAGAGTTTCAGCCCTTTATTTTATAGTTTATCAATTCCAGGACGATTGCTTACAGAGCAATATTTAACTACAGGTCCACTTTGAAAGCATCCTATGCAAGCATTGCATTTGCCCCAAATTTCTTTTTTTCTTCTCCTTTTTGAGAGCGTTGTTTGCATCTATTACTCAAGGAACATTGCATGATGTCTCTGTACTTTGTCCCACAGACTTTGTTCATGTGCTCTTGAATTCTCATTTCTTAATTAATACATTATAGCCTACAGCTTATTGAACACTGATCTATGGCCCGGATTACACAATCTCTGTCATCCAAAAAAAAAAAAAAGTTCCCATCTTACTGTATGTTATGCTATGTTATGGAGACCCTCTGTACTGTTCACCTTCTAGATTGTCATTTTTGTAGTATCAGATGTGAGTTGCTGCTTGAAATAATCCTCTTTAGTCCTCGATTGTGCAACCCTAGCTGGACACCCCTCCGTTTTCTTGTATTCTGTTCCGACCTACTGTCACCGTCCCACTGTACAAATGTATTCACAACCCTTGCACACTTAGTCTGTTTGTAATTGGTTTTCTGTTGGAACCTGTTCAAACCTCTGCAACTGTTCTGGTACTTCTGAATCAACATATGTAGAGTACCTGCAAGTGCTATTCATGCGTACCTAGTACGTTGGGTTATGGGCAGTTATGTTCTCTGTTCTGTAGAATACCTTGAGTACAACCAAATGCCTCAAGTCCTCTGATTATGTTTTAAAGCATGGTCACATCTGAGATTCCTGTGTTAGGATTGTTACACCAAAAAGGGGCATTTAGGAAGCGTGCTGTATATACATAGGGGCACCTATTGCAAGTAGGAACAGATAGTACTCAGACCCATTACTTTAGGGGATGTTTAGTCTGGACTTGTTTTTCTGCGTGGAAGCACACTTTAAAGTGATAGGTCCGCTTAGAAAAACCAACCCCTCCACCACATTCATCAGAGTCCGGATGGGTGTTTGGGTCCATCAGTTGGCTATTCCAGCTTAAGCACTGCAACCTGTAGGAAGGGAGGAGGAGGTCACATGCTTCCCCATACCTGTAAAATCTAGGTATTTCCCAAGGGCTCTGGAGTTATGGGGGAGCAGAGCAAAGGTAGGTATCAGCGGGGGGGGGGGGGGGGTGG